GCAGGGATGCAGCGGGCAGCAGCACAGCCCCAGCTGGCTGAACCTCACTGCAACAGGACCCAGGGTTATCTGCTGCCACCACTCCCTGGTGGGACCTCGTTTACCATAACCACTAGATCTATCGGCCTTTTTCGGGGCTGCAAACAGCCACCCACAACCCTCCAAAGCGCCTCACATGTATTTCTCAACAGACTCCAGCTCAATCGACTTGTAAAAGTGCAAACTGAAACAAACACAGCAGAGGGACCCCGACCGGCAGCGCTCTCTGGGCACCCACCGCTCCTCCAGCCTTGGCACGTGGCGCTGGGGTGGGCAAGTCCCACAGGCAGGAGCACGGTTAAAGACGACACTACTCCTTGCGAAAGGGTAAGGACGTCCCAACCAAACCTGAGCCTCTCCTAAAGAAACTCGCGAGACACCTTCCAAAATGGACAGGGGGGAAAACTGCCTCCAATTCCCTGGTAGCACAAAGAAGAGTGCCTCTGGCTGGCTGGGCTTCCCACAGGAGGGTAACAGCTGTGGCTTGACACACGTAAGAACCATTTACCCCCCGAACTGCCAGATGTCTCGCCAAGATGGGGGCTTGTAGAGGACTAAGGAGGAGGTCGGGAGGGTCTTCACAGCCTGAGGAGCTTGTGTTGTCCAGCACGGCCCTCGCCCCTCTACTACAAGAAAGACCAGGGCAAGACTCAGTAGAAACGCAGAGCAAGCCTCCAGGAGAAGAAAAAGGTTGTCCTCCGCTTACGGGACACACTTAACAAACCACACCACATACCTAATCAGAATAAAGAATGGACCAAAGCGTCCCTCTGTGTACACACGTTGTGTCGTACACACACATACTTCAAATCTTCCAATTTAAGTTCTCCTTTGATCTTCCACGTAACCTGCTCTAGTCACCAGACACACACCAAGGCAGAGAGCGTTCAGTTAGCAGCGGCTTTTACTCACGAAAGCCCCAAACTTTTTTTGCCAAGACCGTGCCGGGCTTGTGATCTTTCGTGGCAAGATGCAGCTGGGGACTCTGAGCTCAGCCTGCTGAGCACTTCACCGGCCCACTCACCGCCTTCCCGGCAGCTCGGTACATTGCCTCAACTGCTTTCCTGCCACTAGACTGTCTTGTTTTCTTCTCAGCTGTCTTTTGCCTTTCTGGTACCCTCCGGGAGCTCTAGCAGCTATCCTCTCCTGCCGCGTCCCAGAAAAAGCAAGCTACAATTAGCAGGGCGGTATTTAAGCGAGGGCTTTCGCGGCGTTCAGCCCCAGCACGGCCCCTGCAGACGTCCGCGCCCTCGAGAGCCCTGCCGCAGGGGCTGCTTTTGCTCACGAGCAGGAGTGCGAAGAGCAGCAGAACCGAAGCGCCCCGACAGAAATGCACAGCATGAGGTGTGTGTGCACGTATACCCACACACACGTACGTACAGAGTATATAAATATATACACATGAGATACCATATATATATATCCAGAGAGATGTGCGTATTCAACGGAGTAATGGGAGACAGTGGTACGATACAATTTATTGCCTCTCAGGAAATGGCACGTAAGCAGGTGCGGGGGGAAGCAGGGCAGCCTGAAGCGTGAGGGGCCCTTTTCCCTTTGGGGAAGGGATTAACAAACAGCATCAGCCCAGGATGGAGCAGGGCGCACCCCGTGCAGGTTAGAGCCGGCGTGCAACGCGCGTTCTTCTGGAGCGGGAGGGCTGGGAGGGACACGGAGCGATGCCAGCCTGACCCCCAAGCGAGGCGAGGGATGGCTGCAGGGGATTTTCTATGGGAAGCTTGGTATCACACCACATTTTAGTTCTTCAGCCCCTTTGAAGCTCAAAGGCTTGGAGCGAACGCAGGTGAAACAGAGCTGTGGCGTCCGTTTCAGTGCTGCATCGGAGGAAGAAAGCACGAAACGTTCAACATGGAAGGGAGAGGTGGCTGCTGACTCCCTGGGACCATGGAGAACAAGAAGAACACGGTCCCTACCACAGATTTTAACTAAATAAAATCAAATGAAATTCAAATCAGAAAGAGGTGAAAATGCAGGCTCCTGTACGATTTTCATCTCTGGACTAAACTACATCAGAACTTCACATCTTTGCAAAGGGGTGAGAAAAATAATCACTGAGTAAGAGAATTTCAGGGGGTCAAGCTGCTGATTTGAAAATACTGCAACGAAGTTTGCAAAGTAGTCCACACTTCCCCAGTGTTAAATACAAACGTAAAGATGTAGGAGAACATCTCTGCTGAGGTACTGGAGCAGTTTTCACAATTTACAGATTACAGCATTTTTAAAACCAAAGTTAGGGCATGACTGCAACGAGTGCAAGATGGAATCATTGGTCTCGCTTTTAAAAAATAAAGAGTTTGCAAACTGATTCAGAGAGAGTTTGCGTCTCTCTAGTGTACAGTTGTTCATGTATCTCAAATACAGCCGAGATACATTCAAATTCTCAGCACCGAGGGCCTCCTCGCACACCTCCAAGGCACAGCCTGAGCCCAAGCCCCTCTGGCTAGGGCTGCGTAACGGGGAGCTTTCTCTCGAGATCAGGCTCGTTCGGGACAGCTTTCTTTCCCCCACGTACACACAGGGACACACACAGTTAGACCAGTTGATCTGAATCAGTTTTTGCAAACTATTTTAATTAAAATATTAACTTGTTGGAATAGTCCAGGTCTGCACATGATATACATGTAAAAATGGTTACTACACAATTCTTTTTGAATACAAAAAAGCCAATATGGGATAGCCATCATTTGGATTCAGCATTCAGTCATGCTTGACATTACACAACGAGATGGGTTGAGAGAATTCTGTTGAAGTAGCTCAATTTAAGCCAGAGACTTTGACCAAATTCAAACCATAACAGAAGCAAAAGAATGAACCCACTGAACTTGCAGGTATAGCCTGTCCCCGCTGTCGCTGCTGCTGTTTGTGACAGAGGAGCTGAACTTCAAAACGCTGTGTTAGCACCATGCTCTGGGCACAGCCTCCACACTCACATGGTAAATCCCAACACAATTTTGGCCTTCCAGTTCATTTTTGTCTTTCCTCCTAACCCCAGGAAAACGCAGGTACTCTTCCTAAATCAGTTTCGCTGCATTTCAACAACACTGCAATGCAAAAGAATGACCCCAAACCATCCAATTCCACGTAAAAACATAGCAGAGGGAAGGACAAGACAATTCACGGTCACCACTTGCCGCAGGGGGCAACCAGAGTCACCTCCCCAGAGCCACCGCCTCATCCCAGGCTTCCGTCAACTGTTAGTACTACAAAGCTCCTTCCTAATGGGCTGCTCTAACACGTTTGGGTAGAGTTTCCATCTTCGATTCGAGTGATATGCTACGTCAAGATGCTAGAAAATCCAGTTGGATTCACCGGACACTGGCAAAGAGTTAAGGATTGGGAGTGGAGGTTAATTTAGCTAACGAAAGAACGTCGCCCTGTTGAGTGTACTGAACAGCAGCGAGACACTAGAGCATTTACTATATAAATATGTCACGTGGACAAACACATTCGGAAAACCTTGCTTTTGAGCCCTATAAACATATTAAAGGCAAATCCTAGAGTTAGCAGCTAGTGTTTTCTTCAAGATGATTAGTGTGCAAGGAAAAAAAAACACATTTACAAAGAACCCTGGCTGGTCAGTCCCCACGACGGAAATCTTTGCCTCAAGCCAAACTTCATCTACCTGCTCCTTCCCCAGCCCCGCCGCATCGGTTGACCCGGACCGCCCTGGCACCGGCACGAGAGCGTGGGGGCAGCCCCGGTTCCCAGCGCTAAGGGGTGACACGATGCCACAAAGCCATTCGGTCAACGAGACTCCCTGATCCCTTTTACCACCGTCTGGATTTCACAACCTCCTTTGCTTCCTTTTCAGTAGTACAGCAGCTCCAAGGAGCCTCTGGAAGTAGTGCCTTCTCGCACGGTGCGATACGCTGCCAAAATGTCACAGCATCTCAAGGGACTGTAAAAGTTGTGAAGTATTGCAGCAACGAAAATAATAAAAAGGAGCCTCGCATGCAGCAAGATCTACAGTGGTGATGTGGGTTAGTCATCAGCTGGGAAAGATTCCTCCTGGTACACTGTGGCAACTAAACATTTAAACAGTTGGCTACGCTCTACATGTAAACAGGAAATTGCAACAAGCCAAAAAGGTAATAAATTGGCGGATGTAGTGTAATAATGAAAAACCCGATCAATGGCATTTTGCGACTATGGCATCCTTCAAAATACCTCTGGCATTTGCGACTGATTGGCTGAAAGTCTTAACATTTCCGAATGGAGCAGAAAGGACTACACTGGGCTCCGAGAATGATTCTGATGCTTAGCTAAAATGAGATGTCACAGTATTAGCTGTACAAGTGCATTACTTACGCTCCTCTGCCCAACCTCGTCTGAGCTACCAGCAGCACAGTCAGGGAGTGCCAAAGCAGGAACATAATTTCAAACATTTCTAGCCTGTTCCCTCCCGACAGGTTTATCTACACAGCGTTCTCGGGAAGCTGACCAGTGCCTTCTGAGAGAACGTCACTTCTCACACGACACAAAGCGGGCACTTGGGTAGAAGGGCCCTGCCGAGCCCTGGTGTCTCTTGGCCTCTCTTCTCACCCTTCCTCCTCACCTACAAGTCTTTGAATACGCCTCTTGGCAGAGGCAATACCCTAGAAAAGTCTCCAATTTAACGACAAATAAAAATGGAACAGAAGATCCAGCTGTTCCTCCCCTGGATGTTGGTTAAAAGGCAGCTCGCCTAGTTTTGCAGGGTGGCAGTTCGAAATTTACAGACAGGGGTCTCCATTCTCTGTCAGACTTCCTAGGGATGGCATGACGAGGGCAGCCCAAGGCCCTCCTGTCCTGTCAGTGTGACAACCACCAGCCAACTCTTCTGACTAATTGTATATGTTTCTCAGACGCCCACCCAAGACCCCTCCGAAAAGTAAAAAACGACAACAAAAAAAAACATAACAAAAAAAAAACCACAAAAAAACCTCCCCCCCAAACCCTGCAGCCAAATACTATGACATCCCAGTTAGTAAACACAAAACGTAATGCTTTACAAAATGAATACAATATTCCATGTGCACCCAGCTTCCACACGTCAGCACCGCACTGAGGAGGCTGCTGGGCTGGTGTCTGTAGGCAGTTTCTGTTGGCAGACAGCTCCAGTGGAATTGCCACCCTCAGTTATTGTTTAAGTTATGTATAAGACATGTGTGAACCATTGGATATTTGTGAAGTAACACTTGTGCTCCTGCTCATGCCCTGTTCCGTCCGTCCCCCAGAAGCTGTCCGCCTCAGAGCCTGGGGGCTGTTGCGGACCCCTATAGCACTACTTCGAGGTACCCCCTGCATGGGCCCCGAGGGGTGACCCCATGGCTGGGGTCCACCTTGCATTGGATGGCCCCAAGCTTGTGGTGGGCCACCCATGGGATGACCCCAGTGAGGTCCTGCACCCCCAGTAGGATTGTGGGACCAGCCAGAAGCTCCCGGGTAGCTGTGGCTGAACGCCTCGGGGGAGAGATTAGAAAGAACCATATTACTAAAACCTAGCCTCATGCTTTCTGAGTCAAAGGCTTCGATCTCGCGAGCTTGACGCTCCAGCAGGCTTCGTATCCGTTCGGTACGCTCGTTCTGCAGCGCCAGCATCTCCTCCTCAATCTAGGAAGCAAAAAAGAAGAGACAGTCTGTAGCAGCAGGACTCCTTCACAGGCACGGCCCCAAGTCTCCGAAGGGCCTGTACCAGCAAGCTCACGAGAAACCATCTCCCCGCGTTTCTAAATGAGGCCGGACCTAGACCGGGTGTCTGCTGACACACAATTCTGCACCCGCTAAAGCATGGTGAGTACCAGCTGGAGGGTCTTGGTCTGTCCCCTGGAGAATACAGAAGTTTTAGGAATACGAGTCCAAAGTCCTAACAGCTTGGCACAGGTTAATCTTTTAAGATACAACGAAGTTTACAGCTTCCATAAAAACCTACTGGGAAAGCAGCTTCAGATACAGCCGAGCACAGTGCCTATGCAGTCACATACCTGCCAACACAGCTAAATGTGACCTTCACTGTTCGTAGCTCAAGCTGATGATGATGACTATTATTTTCTTCAGGATTAAATATACAAGCCCACATTCAGTTTCCTCTCCTGTGTTTACTGGCCAGATTTTCTGAGCTCATGTTTATCACCTCCTATCTACCCCTTTCCTAAATTAGTTTCTCATGTTTCATTACCCTGATACTTTCTGCAGGGTGTGCGGTTGAAGAAAAAAGGCAGGGATGTTTGAATTGTGTGGCAGATTATTAGCTAGATGGTATGCAAGCTAGCAACTCCAATTTCGTCCCTGTAATGCTGTTCCAAATTGGTTTCCAAAGGTGCTTTGCTAGGGGCACTAGGATCAGCTTTCTAAGTACAGAAAACACAGGGCTGCAGCCTCCTGACACCAATCAGAGAGGGATGAAAGCCTGCCTTATTGAAATCTTTGCAGTCAGGTGAAGAATCACTCCGTTATCTTCTTGCCAGCACTGAAAAAGGCACTTTTGGCCCGGGTGAAAAAGACCAAATGGGTAAAAAGCAGCAGCCAAGACTTTTAGCACAGCTCACTGGCATCTCCCCTGCTGAGAACAGCAACTCAGCCAAGAGGTGTTCTCTCTGTGTGCGCTGAAGGTACTGGGCAGAGCGTTGTACTTGTAATCACTCTCTCGCCTTAGTCAGGGAATACGCAAAGTGATTTCATCTGGAATTTAGGAAACAATCTGCTCCAGCGTGAGTCATCTCCTGAGCCATTTGGGGCTTTCAGAAACGCCTTATCCCACTTGCCTGTTTCTTACCGCTTGGTGAGTGCGCTGACCCCCTCCCCAGAGCAGCCCTGCTCACCCCCGAGAGCCACGCTGTGGCCAGTCGCCTTGCAAAGGGCAGAAGAGGAAGAAGGTATCTCCTCTAATGTTAGCTCTTTAAAATGCTTGAGAGTTTTTTTCCCAGCCTTGCTATCTAAGCAGAATTGTCCCTTTTCTACGCCCTCAGCTTGTCCAGCTGCTCCCAGTTTTCACGTTTGTGACAGCGTAACACACAGGACTTGGTACAGCCGAGCTTCGCAGACAGGCATGCCTAGCACGGCGTTAAAATGACATCACTTAGAAACGACCTCAGGATGCAGGATTCTGAAGATGAGGTGTCTGAGGCACGTGGGAAGGAAATGAGCAAACCCGAAGTCTTTTCAAAGACACTCTTGGGACACGCTCGTTACTGGTGCAACACAAACAACACGGCACCAGGGCAGAGCTTGTGCAGTGCCCTCAAAGGCTGCGTGCGATGGGGCCGGCTACTCCCTCCTCAGCCCGAGCCAGACGTGTGTGCTCTGGTGAGTTTCCATGGTGACGGGCACCATCAAAAATAAAGAGCACTGTGCCGAGAAGGAAGCAAGAGTCCTGTGCACACACTAACTTTTGGAATCTGGTTTATTATTGAACATCAGGGACTGACTTTGCCACAGGCTACGTATATATTCGTGCATATAAATTCAGACGTTCACCCTGCGCACGTACCTGCCCTTTCTCTGGCTGCCAGTTTCACTTAGCGCAGGCAAGTAAATACCAGGTGACATCGCTGAGCGACCCACACCAGAAAACTTCTAATTCTTAATTCTCACGAAAACAGAACATCACCTCTCCTCCAAAAAATACCCTTGCAAAAGGATGCAAAAAAATAAAAATAATCTATCTCTGCACCTACATGTTCTCCCCTGAGCTGCCATTAAACACGTGTAACCTCTCCAAGAAACAGAGTCTCATCCCTGGTCCATGACTTTGTGACTTGCAATCCACTAGGAGTGCAGTATTGCTAAATAACCCTATGGAAGTTGAAGCACCACACAATTTCTGTGCTATTCTAAGGCAACAGAGGGACACAAACACACAAAAAATTATGCTAGGTCTTATTTTGATCGGGTTTTTCTTCTCTACAAAGTAACACTGCTAAGCTTCCTATCACCATTACTGATACCAAATGCTTCACAGGGGCTTTCTTTTGTGCAGAGACTTCAACCCTGGTCCACAATGAAAGACTTATACAGCATTATTATAGGTTGATGTGTGTTTCCTTAAGTCTCTGGCCTCACTTCAACTTTTAATGCAAGACTACTTGCCGTGCAAGGTGTGCTGCTCCCACAGAGAAGGAGTCCTGGCCAGCAGCAGGCTGGCTGGGGCACGCTCCTTCCCAGCGCTCTCGGCAGATAATGCCACCAGAGGGCAATGCACACCCGGCACAAACACTCAAATGCAGGGTTGGGAGCAGGACTGTCCTCTTCGGGACGGAGCAAAATAACTGGCGATGGGCTCTAAAGATAGCCCTTACACCTGTGAGCGCCACACGGGAACTGTTTTCACAGACTGGGTTATTCCCAGAGATTCCTGTCTACTCGCAGGAGATCAAAGCACAATAGGACTGCGCTGTCTTCTTGGAGATGCTTCCTCGGCTGACCGTGAGGTGGAGTAGTTTTATTCTGCTGAGGGCTCTCTATCAGCCCAGCATCCATCTCTGCGAGAAGTTAAGTGTAAAGAACCCTGAGGCCACGGAGTAATTGCCCCAATTTAATAATCGCTGACCAGGGAAGTTGGGAACTGTTGCGTGAATGCTGATGTCTGGCACCCACAGGGCAAATCAAAGGGGGGAAAAAAATCACGGGAGGAAGGCTGATTGCGTGTTTCCTTTCACTGACTGGTGCAGTACCCTTCCTCTCGTTTGTGTAGGCCACTCGCATTTCTACACACACCACACATTCGGCACTGCATAGAAAAGCACACTTCGACAAGGAGCACCTTAATACGGAAGCTGAAATCTAGGGAGCAGCAGCTCACCCAGGCCTGTGGGTTTGACTACTTCAGTTTTCTTAGGGAAATGCTGCAGACGGCAGCACTTTCCATAACCAGTAGAATTTCACAGGGAACCTGCAGCCTGGTTTCCACAGACTTGATGATCTCAAGGTTCTTTACCAACCTAAGCAGTTCGATTATGCCGGCTGATAAATGGAGCAGACCCGCAGTTCAGTAACATCACCATAAAGTGCAGCATCTCAAATGCATTTTACCTTTCCCTCCCCACCCTGCAAAGTTATCTGCTACTGATACTATGCAAATTCCAAAAGCTTCCCCCTAACTTTAGGTTGTTATTGTCTGTCCTCTAATGAGCTGGGAAAGCTAATCTGCAGCTCGGAGACAGAGCAGTTCACTTTCCCTTCTGCCCAGAGAGGCACGACTCCCCCTGGCACACTCCAAGCAGCGCTATCCCAGCCAGAAGCTGCTCACACAGGACGGCAGAGCTGGCAAAGTCTAGCCCATGTGTTACTGAGCTATCATCCCAGTGAGGCAAATACCCAAATAATCTGCGTTACTATATACAGCAAGGTAAAAGCAATTTCTCTCTCTACTGACAAGCACGGTGCAACTTAAGAGCTAAACCACGGAGGCTGCTAATGACGCTCGCATGCTCGTTTTACCTTCTGCTCAAGGAGGGCCCGACGGAGGGATACCCTCTGTTCAAGATCACGCAGCTCCCGATCATGCTGGGCTTCTGCCTGCATCTTGATTTTACTCTGATATGCATTCAGCAGCTCCAATTCTTGCTGCAGCTGCATCTTCAAAACCTGGCACTCTGCTTCCTGTGCTTCATCCAAACGCAGCTGGGAAAGACAGACAATAGAGACGTTTCACCATGGGGCAACCACTCACGACACTCCGGGGCAAGGACTGTGGGGAGGGGGAGAGAATGGGATGGGACTTTGTTGTCTTAGCAATACAATTGGTCTCTATTGTACTTCGTTTCACTGAACAGAGGACCTATAGTGACAAAGACTGGTGACAGCGAGCCCACAGCGCTGATCCAAGTGATGCTGATGAGCAGTGGCGCCTCAGGAACCACAATCCATACTGCAGAGACCAGACTGCTGGAGGTGCTAACGTCCGCAGCTCTCCTTTTGCTAGAGGCAAAGAGAAGATCTGTTGCTCTGTTCAACTGGATTAACCAATTACCTGGACACGCAGGAGACTTAAATCCGTATCCCTGCCAATGCAGGACTTCGGGCAAAAGAATATAATGACATAAACCTAAAAGCGGTATGAAACTGAACTTTTAACCTTCTCTTACATAAATTAAGCCAGCTACCCTGCCTCACAGCATCAAGTTTGTACTGAGCGGTGTGAGCAGGATGTAATACGCAAGAAGTGCAAAGAAAACTGCACATTCAGTTGTAGCAAGGACTGAAAGCATTGCTCATGTGGTCATTCCTTAAAGAAGGGATCTCTTACAGAAGGAACCACAGACCTTTTGCAACATTTTTACCATTATTTCAGATTTACAGTCAAAACTCTGGACTCCTCCATGACTCAATGAACATTTTTTACCAGCGGGACATGCTTTGGTTGGTATCAATCACCGACAAATCAAAACCTAAATGACACAGGACAGCACGCTGCACATTATTTACTGATGCTCTAACAGGGATGTTTATGCTGTCAAACTTCATGCAAAAGCAGTCCTCTGGCCACACAGACGCATCACTTTGCATCTCTGCCACAGCAGCTTCAACTCCAACCTGCCTGAAGGGGGTAATACCTCTTTTCTCTGCGTTTGAATGCTGCTTTTTAAATACAGAGGAATGACTGTGCAGGGCATGGCGCGTGTAGAAAGGAAGCAGATAGCCTGCTGTCAGGATACAGATGGGTTACAATGCAAACATCCCTATTTGGCTGAGGAACCCTGGGTCCCTCGGAGGCGACTCACAGCTTGTGTAGAGAGCATTTCATTAATGCTGTGATCATACTGCTCAGCCAGGATAGCCAGCTTCCGGGTCTGCTCCTCCTTGAGCCGTTTGAGGACAGCTTTATGTTCACTCTTTGGCGTGGTCTCCAGCAGATGGTTTCTCAGTGCTTTGTACTGTCTGGTTTGGATCTTGCATGTATCCTGAAACTGCTTCTTTATCTGTAGTTCTTTTGACTGAAAAGATGGAGGGGACACAAAGAAAAAAACCAGCGTGTTTCAAATGGGAGAAATATCCATTCAAATGGATATTTAGGATTACATTAAGGATATGAGTTCAAGAATCCACAAATGTATATTAACATCTACAGTGCGAGGAGGGAAGCAAAATACACAAGAGGCAATGACTATCGCTGCAGCTGCTTTGACACTGCCACTGTGTGAAACAATTACAATACAGACACTTTTATAACAAAGCTCCAGCCTAAATACAGCTGTCTCTGCACAAAGAGCCTCACATTTGTCACTGGACTGGATCCAGTCCTGGGTGTTGCTTTTCAAGAAAAGTTCTTGAGGGACAGGACTAATATTTATTAGCACCAAAAGCCATACTTACACATGACCATGCTTGTATGGCACATATATATATGAACAGCACTTGATGTTATGAATAGAAGCAGCTCTGGTGCATGGGAAGGAGCAGGGAAAAAGAGCAACACTTTTTCCATTGAGGGTTTGATGAAGATAAGAGGTATTCCAACCCTTCATATCAAGAGCCTGGTTTTTATAAAGATACTAAATAATGGCTGCGAAACATGAGACGCTTGAAGACATACGCCACAAGCAGCGTCAGCGTTGTGCCAGTCTGGCAAACGAAACAATTCCCCAGTTACAATGGAGGCTTACTGGAGAGTGACTCTTCCCTTTGCACTTGCTAGGACTGGTGTCCTGTCTAGAGACGTAACTTTGTGACTGCACACAGGGCTTGGAGACCTCAATCCCGGAAAAGGCATCTGGACCTGACTTGGCTGTATGACCTTGAGGAAATTAATTATATTTTTCTTTTACCTGCTTTACCTGCCTCCAGAGTAGCTCATGAGGGATAACATCTACTAAGTGTTTTAAGACTCTGAAAAGGAAGGTGTTCAGGAGTTCCCTGTGTCTTTCTACAGGAGGGCTGGCAGAGGTACTTCTCAGCAAAATCCACAAGTGATGAGTGATGCTGTTTAACTGACAGATAGTTAAGTTCTTCATGGTAATAAAAAAAAACCAAAAAGACCCCACCCCTAAACGTCCGCCAGCAGGGACTACACACTCTGGGTCATTCCCACTGCCACACTGAAATCGTGAAGCACTGGGGGCAGGGACAGAGCACAGGACCAGATCCCTGTCCCTTCAGTAAGCTGGAAGAGCTCCGGGATGTGACCCAGCAGGGCAGGTACACGTGTACGTCCCCATCAGCTCCTCAGCAGCCTGCTCCTGGCACGAGCTCAAGGCTCAGCAGGGCAGGTGATAAGTGCAGCACTTGTAGCTACCTAGAAAGATGTAGTGGGATCACAAAATCTACCCAGCTCAATTGAGACACAAGTATTGCCCTGCTGCATAAACCAACCATTCCACTTCGCTAACCTGATGCAGCAAACAAGTCCAAGATGGGATTCATCCAAACCAAAACACGTATCACGGAGAGGAGTGCATCACTTTTACCCCTTCTAAATTCACAGGAAGATATTTCCCTCCAGGAAACCTTTAAGGTTGTTTCTCCCTGCCCTTAAGGGAAGTGTCAGCAGGTTACACATTCCGATCAGGGACCTGGTCACAACAGAACAGGAGCAATCTATTTTGTCCCCACTTTCTGTGAAGTCTTGCTTGGACACCAGGCTCTGTTTACAGGCTTCCACTCGAAAGGCTTTAACAACAGGAAACAGAAGGGAGGGGTAAGATTTCCAGTCAGACTTCTGACAAGATCACTTTGACCTAGTATTGTGAAATACCAGCAAGAGGGTATTTGCATCACAATTAACACACTCGAAATAATAACAGAGCAGTTTTCACTGAAGGGTGAATTCTAGTTACCCGTCCTTCTGGTGCTGTAACAGTGGCAGCAGACACTGACCGTTAAAAAACCTGCTCTCGGGACAAAGGACCTCACAAATAACAAAGGGAAAGCCTGAAACATGTGCCCTCGAGGGAAAACGTTGCTGGAGAGAGAAACTGAACAAATAGTCGAATTATCTATTCAATTAAGACTACTTGCCTGCATTAGTCAGAGGCAAGAGTTAATACTAGGGAACAGTCTTCATAAAAAGGGGATTGTACCACAAACCCAACGGTTGTCCAGCAGCCTGCATCATTAACGCAGCGTGTGTGCAGAGGTGCTGGGCCGACAGCTCAAGCCTGAAATCCTTCGCTAATCGCCCAACAGCCATGCAAAGCAAAGTGCAAGCTTCTCATGCTCCTTGCAGAGTGCTCCAGCCCTGTCCTCTGCGGAAAACAGAAGGGGCTGCAGAGGCGAGAGGGCAGCCAGGCCCCCGCAGCCCCGAGAGACCTCCGACCCGGCTGTCCCGCCTGCCGGCCAGGGAACGGACACGCTGTCCACTCGTGTTTGCGCCGCGTCACCTTGGGGAGGCAGGACTCATTCATGCTAATCTCAGAAGGATCAACCTAATACAGCTGCTTCAGTTTTATTCAGCTCAGAGTGCGGCGCAGCTTCGCTGTGAAGTCATCAGCTATTTATACACTATATCCTTGGAGATTCTCAACAGCGATCAGCTGGTCCCTTGTTCTCACAAGCTGGGGTTTCACTATTTAATATTATTCTAATAGTGACAAATCAGGTATTTACTTGTTTGTCCTGAAATTCTATTTTCAAGTTGATTATTTTCTCTGTAGAAGATAGCTCGCAGGTGGTGAAAACTAAGTCAGGTGGGAAATATCATAAAGAGGAAAGACCTAGAACAACAACGAAACCTCATGCTCAGTATGCCACACACTCGTTTTGTTCCTGGCACGGCTGAACACTGGGTGGAGAGAAGAAGTCTGCCTCCTCAAAGGAAATGTACCAGGCAGCTTTGTGAAGGCCTTACACTCTCTTCTCAGACACTTCAGAATAAACCACTGGGCTTCTTTGGATGAAGGGAAGACTCACAATAAAAACACCAAGAGCCTCAATTACAGAGGCCCTGTAGTTCTGGTCAGCCACCGCAGCTACAAGGGCAGCACAAGAAACCCATCAGAGCACAACCCAGCAAAGGTCAGTGCTAGGAGCTTCCTGAGGACACTGCAGTTGGCCGGTTTCTCTTCCCTCTGCCACTTGCTAGCATACAAGCCTTAAAATGAAAACAAAAACAAGGTGAGCTAGCCAAGACCGATGGTGCAGATCATTTTGATGCACACTGCAACACAAAGTGCTTTTTTTTAAGACCTCGCTGCTTCATTAGAGAAAAATAGGTTTTTATTCTTGTATATGGGGGGAGAAGAGGATCAGAAAATGGTGTAGGTGGAAGAGGGAGAAAAAAGAGCACTGAAAATGCCCTTTTAATGCATTTTAAGCTACCACAGAAAGGAAGGCACGCTGCTGAGAACAACGGCTTTTCAAATAAAATGAGGGAATAGTGCTGCTATGGCCTGCCCACAGCACACCGCGACCCTGACCACTGTCACCGTGGTTCCTACGTACGGTGCCTGCAGGGCTGTAGCTGCACCCTGGCAGTTACGTAACTTGCCAAATATGACACTGTTTTAACAAGGTATTCATTAGAGAATGAGACACCTCTTCGGATTAAAGAGCTTCAAAATATCTTGGACTGTAACGCTGCAAATGAGAACCGAGCTGTAACGCACCACATCTCCAGCACCACCAGCAGCTCGTGCCCAGAGCTCCTACATCGTTTAGTACCTTCAGGCTCTTAGGCTGCTGCCGGACCTCCATGACGTGCTTACGCCTCAGCTCCCGCTCCCGGCGTTTGTTGTACTCCAGCTGGTTGGTGAGCTCGGTCTGGTGCTGGAGTCGGATCAGCTCACAGCGCATCTTCTGGATGGTGCTGAGATGGCGGAACTCCAGCTCCTGCATGGACTCGTGCTGACGCAGCAGCATGGCGTGCTCCAGGTCCTTCTGCGTCTGCCTTTTGTTTAACTCCTACCAGGAGGACAGAGGGAATTATTAGATTCTTTGTACTTACTTGGATTTCTGTTCACAACGTGACATTTCACTTTGTTCACAAGGGCATTTCTCTCTTTCCAAGGCATCTGAGGACAGAGCACAGAGTTTCTATGTCTTATCAGAAGCAGACAGCACCACCACCGGTAATTTTCCCTTCCTCGTCCCACTTTTCACCTTCCTGTTAAAGATGCTCAACAGGATTGTTGTGTCTGTTGACTTTTTGGATTTCATAGTTCTCTCACAATAGGGCACCAACCCGAACGTCCGATTCCGCATGATCTCCTAAATGCCCGAGGGGCTGCCAGACGGTGTTGTGGAACATCAAACTCTTATTTTACCAAGAAACTTTAGATGTGTTGATTAACGTTTCGGTAAGATTGGAGTTGTATTGCAGGTGCTCCTGCGAGGGACGTTTTCAGGTCTCACCTCTGTCTATTCTCTTACCTCCCGAACCAGGTCCTGCTCCAGATTATGGCGGCCAAGGAGCATCCGTCTCTTAAAGCGGCGACACTCCAGCTCCAAGTACTGCCTCTGACGCCTCAGCAAATTCGCTTCTTCCTCCGCCTGGAAATGCTGGATGTTCTCCTTCTGCTTGGAGAGCCACTCCTGCTTCTCCTTCTTTGGAGTGCTCTGGTTTTCATTCAGCTCCTGATAACAACAAGGTAATTAATTAGGGAATAGTCACATTGAGCTCCTTGACCCTGAATAACTGGATGGATCTGCCCAATAAACTATGTTTCAGAGCTGCTCCAACTTGTCTTCTCACAACTGGTATCACCCCAATCTCTGCAAAACGCAACCAGATTCAGTATTTAAAGCAACACCCAGGAACAATTCATAGTGGAGAAAACTGAACTACAACGGTTTTTTGCACTGGTCATTTTAACTGGCCAAAATACTCATTCATGTCCACAGTTTCCAGACATAGATATTAATTCAAAATGTAAGAATAATGGTTTGCTGCTGAAAACAAAGACACTTGGAGGTCCTCCCATGCTGCCCAACGAATGTTTTTACAGGTTCCCAAAGGACTGAAGGAAGGAAAGTGTTGTCATCCTGTTGTTCAAACGAAACTCCAGCCACGTGAAGCACATTAGAAAATTTTTGTGTCGAGCTTGATCAGAACACAAACACGTTTTGCAAGTAACTCATCAAGGCAGAGCCGCTCACTGAGATGCCGTAACTTAGAAAAACAATATAGAGAATTCTGTTCACGGGTGAAACTTAGGGCCATTGTTTCCGTATTTGTATTAAATTTGATTTGTAGCTTGAAGCATCTTTGGCAAAAGACTCTCTTTGCTTGAAGTACATACTAGAGATGCCCATGCAGTAACTAGACTTGTTGGGATACATTTCCACTTAAGAATGAGACAGAACTCCTCTGTATTTCATCAGTGTTTCTTGGTGCTCCGTGATCTACTGCCCACTTTAAAAAAGGATTCTATGTTATTATAAGGAGCCCACGCTATTATAGTTTTGTTAGATCTTTCTTGGCTCTGCTGCTCTTTAGCTTTGTTTTCTCCTGGGAAATGCCTATGTTTGGGAATATTCCCCTTTGGAGCAAGTTCCAAAGTTGCGTCACACAAGCTGATGGTTAAGCACTAAATGGTTCTTTCAAAAAAAATTATTTATAGCGCTTACGGTTTCAGCTACTCCACAAAAAGAATCAGGAAGTGTGATTCTATCGTTTCTCTGCATTTCACAAAGGTAATGATTTTCAGTACAATTCAGTGATTATTAAACCATTACAGAGCTTCAACCATTAAAATTAAATAGTGATTTACAGGCATTTTCCTTAAAAAAAAATCTGCAGGTCATCTTTACTGCTCTGTTTTCTTGTTGCTGCTACAGCAATATCACTTAAGCAATGAGAAACTTCACTGACTGTTGCAGTATATGGCCAATATCTGCAGCAACAAGGTATGAGAAAAATGCTTATGACCTTTCTTAAAACTACCTGCTTTTCATTCCTTACGGCTGCCAAATTCAGATGTTTCTGGCTAAAAAGTAATATAGAGCAATGGAGAATTTTGTACTTTCACAAGATAAACACGTAGGTGCCAATATATAACCAAACCCTCTTGCTCTAAGGTCAAAGATTTGAAACAAATACAGGACGTACAGGACCCTGCTCACGAACTGCAGACCCAGCTGCAATCCAGTGAAAGATCTCTCGCACATGGTGGCTCTTTCACTTGTGAACGTTCACCACTCTTGCTCTGTACCACACACTGTGCTATAGTCACACTTCTCATCAGGGACGGGTTACCTCTTTCAGCTGCTCTTTACGGAGTTTATATTCTCTCTTCTGGGACTCCAGGAAACTGTTCAATTCTTTTTTCTGTTGGGCTTGAATATGCTGTTGAAACTTCTTTTCTTCGTTGGCCATCACTTTAGCCTACAGCAAATCCAGCAGCGAATCAGTTTGAGTCCCAATGGATTACAGCTCCTGTTCCATTTCAGCCCCAAGACCGGGAACCCACGGTACTTCACCTACTACTCACCATGCCTCTGCACACGGGCCAGTCTCAGGAGCCTGCCCCTTCTCTCTTCTCATTCCACACCCCATCAACGCACCCAGCAGGAGTCCTTTCTCAGTGCCTCATTTCCTCAGCCCTATTGTTCAAGCTAGTCTTGCCTACCAAAGTCAACACCTCCCAATAAACTAGATCCTCAGCCCTCTGAGAGATCCAAGACGAACAAAGAAACAATAATAATCGCCGTGGGCTGCAACATTTCGTTATCAATTATTTAAAAGCATAACCCCCCCATATCAATAAGCAACTAGACAGTGAACGTTGAAGCGTTGCTGGCCCATTTCTCTGCAAGCTAATCTGCCTCCGTAACACTTCATGGCAGTCGGGTATTGACACCACAGACACAACAAAAGAAAGGAAAACCCTTACGGTATTTTTTCTGGGGTCAGTATACTAATATTTAGTACAATGGCCTGTGATGGACACACCTTTCCTCTGGTTACATAAACCCCTTAGCGTAAGGAGTCATGTATTAGCCTCTTTCTAATTAGCAATTTGCTTGGCTCCTGAAAACAGACACGTAAGAGACTAGAATGTCACCTCTTCCTCAGCGAGGGGAAGTGAACAACTCAATGGAATTAACAAATACAGACTGGTCTGCTAAACTGTAATCTCCTACCTCTTTTTCCATGGCTGCCTGGTGCTTTTTAATTAGCTTCTCCATTTCTGCAGCAAAATTGTTACGCTGTGTTTCAAGATCTTTGTCCAACCTGAGGCGATGCTCGTCCATCTCTGCCTTCAGTTTATTCTCTAATGCCATCAGTTGCTTCTGGTGTTGCCGTCTCATACGTTTATAGCCAGACATCTGCTCTCGGAGTTCAGAGTCTTGTTCATGTTCCTGCATTTGCCTTGTCACCTAGGAAGGTAACCGCATCGGGCCAAAGTAAGTTAACGCTTCTTAATCTGCTTTTTGGCAGTCTTCAAAACACAAAAGTAAACGATTCGGGAAAGAAATACGATTTTGCCGTAAAGAAAAGCGCACATCCTAATGGCAGCAGAGCAGATTAAAAACTGAATTCTGCTGTAGAAGATAAGCTCACGTGGGCTACAGCAGAAAAACTGTACAATTGTTATAAAGCTGCTACTAAATAATGGCTTTTTAGCCCACTGCAATGATACACACAAATATACAGAATATGCACATGAAAATAAACCCCTGCTTATTATTATAAACAGTTTCCTATATTCTGCTAGGCATATTGGTTTTGCAAATACTCAATATACGCAAATTACATTTGCCCAGGTGTCGCATTTAAGCTTTTATTAACTTACAATAAACTATTTCAGTGATAATATCTCAGTCAACGAAGATAGTTCATATTCTGATGAAATCCTCACAGCTCTAAGTAGTTTCGCAGAGCTACATTTCCTGCACAACTTCACCCAAATAAAAACCTTAACGTACCAGCGATGCTGTGCGTATAGTAGCAAAGTGCTCTCGGTTGCGATAATGAGACTTGTGGCGAGATACTTGGGGAGGAGACTGGGGTTCCGACGCTCTTGTTCGGGGATCTGATTCCTCTCTGTAGTTTTCTTCCTCCTTACCAGCAAATACATGAGTGAATAAAGAGAATCTGTGTTCAAGATTTTTATCTTGGCCTGGTTCAAAGGACTTTTAAAAGGAAAAAAAAACCCACACATTTTACATTCATCAGTCCCAAAAGATCTTCCTGCCAATAAGGTGGATGAAGGAATATACTGAGACAAGAGCTCTGATCTTTGCTTTTGGAAATCTAATTGCGTATTTTTATTACTAAGAGGAAAATTACTAACTAAAGCTGAAAAACGAGAAAAATAAATGGAAAACTGAAAATATCGAGTTAAACAGTTTACTTCAACAAAACATAAAAGCTATGAAGTAGATTACATCAAGTCTGAAAGGCAAAACCAACATCTTTGTAACCTTGAAAGACAGAGGAAGATTTTCATTACACCCACTACAGAAACACCTCAAAGCAAATTTTTAAATTTGTCATGGTGTATTCCACACTCTTATTTTGAGTTTGTCATTCATCACAGAGCAATTAATAGTTAGATATGATATACTAATTAACTCCCCGAGGAAATACCTGCGTCTTCGTTGCATATCTGGGCAAAGAACAAACCATTCTAACCACACCTATCACCAGCTGAGGGAAACGTTACTGGTTTGAGAAGAGGTGTGATAACCCCTCCACGGCCAGAGCAGCCCGGTTCACAGGGACGCTGCCCAGGTCACCCTTCGTCGGGCAGAGGTAAAGCACGGGAACTGGTTTCACAGCTGCCTCAGTGCTAAATTTCTTTTTTCATGCATCTTTATTCACTAACAAAACACTCCAATCAAGTGCTGGGGAGCTGGGTGCTTCAGGAACAGATTTCAGCCACTACTGTGGGTCCTGCGTTTACAAAATCACTAACCAGGAAGTAAAAAGGGAGAGCTCTCCCATCTTTTTGTCCCGTGAAGCAGTGCTCTGCAAATTAAAGGCACCCACTAACCAAACCTATTCAGACCTGCCCTTCCAGCTCCTCAAGAGTAAAGCAAATTGCTTTTGAACCAATTCAATCAGTAAAATAATTTTTAGTGAATCAATAAATGATTTTTACATCATTTTTCCAAAGTTTCCAGCACACACTAATATATTTGGAGCACAATATTAGAACCTGCAAATAATGACTCAGGATAGGAAACGCTTTCTGTCATCATGCCAACCAAATCCTCTCCCATTTTACACCTCCAGCAAAACCCCAATGCTTACCGGCTTTAAATGAATGACAGAGCTATTTGACATCACGGTGTGGTCCCCCTCCATCATATCCAGCTCGCTCTTATCATCCGAGGCATCTGGAAGACTGTTAACACTACTGCTTTGGCTACTGGCACTGATAGACATACTGGGAATGGACTGATTACTTCCGACACTATTCACTGTTCCTGTCCTGCCGACACCGTGATCTTGTTCCTAAGGAGAAAGGAATTATTAAGGAAATCCAAATCCATCACAGTTGTATCTATGGACATTACCAAATGAAATGCTCATTCTACTCCTTTCTAAAGGCAGCTACCTGCCACGTCGTGGCAGTTCTAACCCTCCAGGCATTGCCATGAAACATTTCTCTCGTGGGATGCTGGGGAGAGAAAGAATCAGCCTTGTCAAGACTAACTGGCTGATGTCAGGTTCTTTTCAACAGCGGGCCTGTTAACAAGCTGAACTCTATCATGGATCAGCAACAGTGTGTCACCAGAAACTGTTCTGACACCTGCATCATCTTAGTGCTCAGCTGAGACCTGCGCCTCGCACGGCTCCTTCTGTACGTGAGAGAAGAGCTGCAAGCCAGAGTCTCAGTTGCTGCATGGTGATTGCAGCGTGCAACCCCCAAAGAAGACAAACCAATTTCCTTGATTTTTTTTAAAAAAAAGCAAACAGAAAAAAAACCAAACCAAGTACAAATTTCTGACTCAGAACAACATTCTCCAGACAAAGTTAGAAAACTGTCAAGGGCTTGTATATATGGTCAAAACAGGGGCTGACCGCAGTTGCCGTAAGAGTCCTCCCGAAGCCTTAGGAACAGGCAAAGAAAGCCAGGATTTACGGAACCGGAAGCTAACTGCTCAAGCATGAACACATGGCACAGCCTCTTGCCAGCATGAGGCATCTCCCCTGTTTGCCCTTGTTTGTGCCTTGAGGTAGCTTTATTCCAAGCACAGAGAGGAAGACAGAGTTTACAGCAGGTGTGTCAACAGCCTCCATCCGTTTTAGCAATATCTGAGTAGTGGTTCTTTAAACCACAGCATTATTCCCCGGTTCAGCCACGAAATCCAAAGTTTCTCTCACCTCCTCCTCCTCCTGCGTTTCGACTGCGGGGCCATTGTGCGCCTCCTGGAAGAGGAGCTTCTTCATTTTCCGATACTGCAGGTTGTCCAGTTCTCTCACTGCATCCTTTGTTCTCTGAATCAAGTCTATTAACACTGTTTCGGGCCGCTCCCGAAGAACAAACATGTGCTGTAGAACACACAAATAGGTGAGTGACCTCTTAAAAAAACATGCTTTCTGGATACAATTCTGAGCTCTAGTTGAGTTTTTTAGCCCTCTTCCCTGCACAGAAGAACACCTTCACAGCTTACACTGCCACTATTTTTAGACTTCACGATCCAGAAAGATTTCAGAATGACTGCTCTCTGACGAGACACATCCAGCAAAAAGTAAAGATGTAAAAAAAAAAAACAAACCAAAACCAGAATGGTATTTCACGTACCATGAAAACAGGCCCAGTTTAAACCTAGACTTTGTATGTTGGGGTATTAAGAGACATTTTCTACTTGTGGTTTAGTGGGGGAAGAGCAACAACATATAAATGCTAAAGGTGTTAGACTGGTTAAGCATCTCTAACCAAATGTTAATTAACTCATCAGCGAACTCTCACTATAAAATCCCTTTCCTCATTCAAAAAAGCCTGAGAATCAAATACTCAGCGTACAGCTCTGAGTCATAAAACAGACTGTGAACCTCCAAGCCCGGCTCTAGAACAGTTAGCCACACTATGCTCTTTTTTTGGAACCATTCACTGCATTTCGCTGCAAAGGTGGCTACGTTTTGCCAATAGGTAAAACAAGTCCTGTCTATATGTCAGAAGCAGCTTTTGCAGTCTCCAGATGAAATGTGCTGTGCAAGCATGAGTCATTATTAACACCACCGCTAGCTTCATTTTGTTCCTCAGGACAACCGCATCGCCATTTCCAGCACGTCACCCTCCCTACCTGTCCCTGCAAAGTGGCACGCAGCTGTTTCAGACTACAGATATGGAAGGAATATATTCGCAAACGTTTAATTTCCATCAATGTTCTCTTTAATTGCAGCGCGTTGCTCAAAATAAAACCAATCTGCAGAATTCTGAAATGGCAGGACTACACACCCACGCTGAAACCTTTCCTGGATAATTGCATTTACTTTCTGAATACACGGTTTTTAAAGAGGTAAAAGTCCCCAGAACCACTGAAGTGAAAACATGCACAAAGCTGGTGATAAAACCTTCACAAATAGCATCCATTTCCCTGCAATGCCAAATTTTGGGAAAATCGCTGTTTAGCACAAACGTGGCAAGGATAAAAATCCCCCAAAATAATGTCATGAGTGCTGTGAAGAGAATGAAGAGAGAGCAAAATTCTGAATGCCAACTGATGCCACAAAGGAAATCCATCAAAGCCAAACTTTAAAGCGGCTCTAACTCCTAACTTCTACATAAGTTGTGCTCAGCGAGGAACACGGCAGCTTTTTGCAACAATCTACCACAGGAGAAAATCAAGTACCTGCAGTATACGGGAACGCAAAAAAAAAAGGCTAAAAAAAGCAGGAGAAAACCTGCAGATAGCTGAGGCTTATTCATGTCAAGGAAAAGCAGGAGGAAGCAAAACTGCCCTCCTCTGCCCCCTTTGCACTGTTAGAACAGCAAATATTAGTTCTACAGGTAAAGCACAGAGGTGATGGGAGAGGATAAAAAGCCTGTAGGGGTACATAGAGCCTAGAATAAAGAGGGAAGTAACGAAAGGAATTTGTTAACTAGTGCATGGCAGCTCTGTCAGGGTGAACTATAATCACTGGGATGATAGATGGAGCTTAAGAAACTGAAACTCTCGACAAGTTGATGGTCATCCAGTGTCACTTGCTGGGGTGTCTCTATAATGAGAACAAGGCTGGCTCAGAAAGTCACCTGGGAAACTCCAAGACACTGAAAAGGGGTAGTAAAGCTACAACCACCGGCTCAGGACACTCCACAGCACCCTCAGCTCAGAGGTGTTAGGGATAACAGGCAGAGAAAGCAGCGTTAGCTGTAACCTAGCGTGGTAGGTGAGACAAAAGAGAATCCCAGGGCTTGGCCTCTTTTTACTATCACAGGAAAACCAGAAAGAACAGAGAACCAACCTTCAGAAGCTCCTCTGATGTAGGCCTGTCTTGAGGAATTTTCTGGAGGCAAGAATCTACAAAGTTTCGGAAATAATCAGACCTGTGGCAAGGAAAGCAGAAAAACCAACAAATAAACACCTGAGTTAACTCCCCACTTTAAGTTCCAAAGCTCGTTAAACAATCAAGACATTCACATTTGCGTCCTGCTACTAGAAAGAGCAGGGAGGAACTCCAGCCCCTGCCCCCTGAGATCCCTGCTCACACCAAAGCCCACTGCTCTCAGTAGCTGGATCCCTTCAACCCCAGCTTCCAGACAAAACTTTTTAACCTAAGAATGCAAAAATACAGGGGCCATTCAAGAGGAAGGGAAGTTCCGTGTAAAGGCAGAACCCACCTATCTCAGAGCAAGCACAAAATCCTGTCAAATTCTTTATTGCACAAACCCGTCAAGGTCTGAGCAGAGCCCGTGCCCCGCTCCACCTCCCTGCGCTGGCGTTTCATGCGCAAACGGGATTAACGCACCACTCCCAGAGTGCCCTTGGCCCCTCCGACCCAACTTTTACACCACTGGGCAATCCCTCACGAGTAAGACTTAAGGTCATGAACTGTTCAGTAACATCTCTCCCTCTGGAAGCTAAAATTCTGCAAAGTTTTCAGCAGGGCAGGATTCTACCCTGAAAACAGCAGCACATCAGTTGTGCAGGTTTTCCTTCTTTTCTCCCCCACCGCTCCCCGACTCTCATCATGTAACGTTGGGGTTTTTTTGCTACTACAATTTTTCAGTATATTATTACATTTTTGGGTCCGAAAAATGCATAAAATGAGCTGCATGTTTCGTGACGCACCAGGGTTTAAAATAGCCAGAAAATCTCCGATGTAGAAAAAAAAATTGTAAAAATACGGCACAACGTATGCTGTTAGAGGTGCAGAACTATGGCTCAGAAAATTTTAATTAGGAAGTTTTTAACTTCTGAAATGAGTTTACTATGCTTGCTGTTTCAAAGGACAGTTGTTGAGGCTGGGAAGCACAAATTGTTACTACTGTGCTTTATTCTTGTAAAGTTTATGCAACAGACACTTGCCGCACACAAGCGGCGTCTTCATCTTGCAAAGCAATCCCTCAGCAAAACAAGATTTAGGAAGTGACAGTGTGGTTTGTGATAAAAAAATCAGACCACTAAACCCCACATTTTTGGCTAGCCTAGGAGCTTCAAAAGTTTACTGACCCTTGAAGTGAATTTTTTGCAGGATCTTGCGTTCTTCCAGCAGCACGTCCCGTTTTCACTACATTCTAGCGTCTAAAACGCCTATTTTAGTAAATGGTCAATTTTGTCTATAAAATTGATAGCGAACCTTCCAGCTCACATCCTCCCAACAGGAATCCAGTTATTTCAAGAACTCGGCATGACAAGGACTCCATTTACAGCAATTCCCTGCGACATTCCTCCCTCGGTCATACTCACCATTCATTAGACTGTAGTGTAGGGGATTCATTCTGCGCTATGTGATATAAGGCACTCATTGCGTTCATATTAAACAAAGGAGGCTTCCTTTCCGCTACACACAAAAGAAAATAGTTTTAATGGAGGGAGATAGTCTCATGTTTTCGCTCTCTTTTAGTTTACATCCCTTTAACGAGAAAACCACATCAGCAGAATCACTGCTGCCTGAACGTGGAACCCCAAACCAACCCTACCCTGCAATCAGACAGATATGTTGGCGTACGTCCTGTACCATTGCAGAAGATGAAAGCGCTTTGAAGATCAAATGCTTTGTCCTCTCAAGCTCTTAAATTATGTGGTTTATCATAGTTGAGTTCTCTGACTCATTTTAATGTACTAAAATAAGAGTAAGTTAACAGTAAGCTCTAAACTCAGTGTTCAGCCACTAAGCATTCCTGGTTTCATACTTCCCTCCCTCCAGCTTTTTAAAAAAAAAATCTACACTTGCTAAAAAGCTGACAAATATTTAATTCTAGCAGGACAGCAGTGATGAAGGAAAAGCTGGTTAAAAGAACCATCAAATCACACTTAACTGACTAAGCACAGGGGCAGGAAGTCAGCAAGAGGCCAACTCTTTATACTATTTTGAGAGTTGCATTCTCTTTGGCTCTTCTCTCTCTTTCAAGCTTGTGTTACTCTCATAGACTGACACAGCATGAAAGCTTAATGAGGAAGGAGATGATCTCACTGTAACAACAAAATTGAAGCTTCATCAGAATGTTTATGGGGTAAACCTATAAAGCTCAGCCTCGCCATAAACATTCCAGAGAAGCCGGTCAGGCCACGGGGACGTTCCTACACCAGTGAAAACGCAACAGAAAACTTCCCTTTCTGAAAAAAAAAAACCCACACCGCCAAACAAACAAAAAACCCAAATAAGTTAAAAACAATGCCGGTTTTCTTACTCTGCTTTTCCACTTTGAGTCAAATGGTAGCAGTAAGCCACGCATCAGAGGTTGTGGTTCACTTACCACTATCAGAGGATGGACTGAGCCTTACAAATTCCTCAGAATGGGTAAATTAAAGGAGTTAAGCCTTTCCTCAAATGTAGCACTTTACGTTCCTTAATCTGTCAGATAACTAGTTGCTGCTATCGAGGGTAAGACTGATTATCCCTTAAACTATTTTAACTGACTTCTCTCCCTAGCTTTTTTTCTCTTAACTCACCTGAATAAAAATAGAAAACTTCACGAAACGCCGAACTGAGCCCTCGGTGAGGCCATTTCTAAGACTAACTCATAATTTAAGATGACTACTAGCCACCTCATTTTTCTGCTTTCTTCCCAGGCTTATTCAAACCAACACAAACGAGATAACCACCCTGATCCAGCCTACGACGCTC